TTTATCTATTGGAATTTGAAAAACTTATTACGATTCAGTCTTTTATCACCCTATAATACTTCGTTATATTTGCATAATGCATAAGGTTATTGTTACAAGATATTTTGAATCATTTTACAATAAATTAGAATTATCAGAAAAAATAATTATTCAATAGCAATATGATAGTATTACAGAATCCATCTCTTATTTACAGTATGTATTTTGTATTACAGTATCCATTCCTTTTTTTAAGGTATGCATGATACTGTAAAACATATACTTCAAAATTTCAAATATTTAATTGAAAAATATGGATATATACCAAATGGTGGTCGTACTTATATGTTACAACGTACTCAACCACCTTTTTATATTCCAATGGTTTACGAATATCATACTGTAACGGCAGATGATGAATTTCTGCTCAGTGTTATGAGTACTATGGAAGCGGTAATATTTCTCGAAATATTTAAATTTTCAAACGAATAACAACATTTATTTGGATACTTGATTACGGTATTTAAGTATAGTAATATAACATTTAAATGAACCAAAAATGTTTTAACATTATTTTCATAATACTAAGCTAACCAAAATGAAACATTTCGAATTCTTGAAATTAAATCAATTCATTGAAACATTTAAATGATTTTTGCAATTTATTATGTAATTATACGTGATAAATTTCATCCTTAAATTCTGTAAATGTTATGAAGAAGAAAATTATGAATAATTAGTTAATTAAGACCATAAGACACTAAAAATTAAGCACTAAAAAAAAAGCTTCTAGAAGAAGGTGTAATAATTTGACAAATAATTTATTGAATCAAAGATTACTGATAAAATTTATCTTATCATTTTTACCTTATCATTTAAATATTAAAAATAATCACATGATAAAGTGATAATTTAATGCTCCTTTAGAACATATTCATGGAAATATATGTGTACATATATGTTTGGAATTAATTAATTACATAGGATTGTTCTAGGAATTTGAATTTTGGAAAAAACATCGGACAAAAGTAATTTCAAAAAAAGGCAAAAATTATACTGTATTCCAATATATTTCACCTGTTAATACACCTCGGTTAGTGAACTTTGTGGAATTATTAGATCATAATAGTACAAATGTCATTATAGGAATTCAATGGTATTAATAAATTAATTTAGTATCATTTTACCTCATTTATTTTAATGCTTTTCAAAATTCTAACTTATTAAGTTTATAATTGATGAAATGAAATTGTACCATATTTTGTAGTCCGGAAGCATATCGTAGCGATTTTCTTGCGGCTGAAAGTGTTCCGGAAATTAAACGTCGACAAATATGGACTGATATTAATAGTGCTGCGGAATCTGGTTGGGATTTTAGTAGTCGATGGCTTAGTAATAGTAAAACAATGGATAGTATTGAAACATCAAATATTGTACCGGTTGATTTGAATGCATTAATGTGTTGGAATATGGAAATTTTAGCACATTTACATGGAGAAATTGGTAAAATGTGAAATAATTTCAAATTTTATCAAATTTTTACTTAAATAATTTACACATTTACTAATATTATTTGCATTTTACATAAAAAATAACAAAACATATATGTTGCTAATGATTTTTATTGTTTTAATTTCAATTATATGTAACATTTAAAAACACATTATTAATTACTCGATACGGTAATAGGAGAATTGGACAGCTTTAATTAATTCACCATAATATATTCGTAATTAATCACTGTAATCAATTATGATACATTTAAAATGATTAGGTAAGAAAAAACAAAAGCTTTTTATAACGTTTTTTTTTCTTTTTTTTTTTTTTAATGAAATTGATGGTAAACTTCATATAAAGTATAAGATAAATGGTTTGGAAAAAATTCATAATTTATATTTTTTTTTATTGTAAATTTCATAAATAAATGATTAAATAAAAAAAATTACAAATTAAAAATAAATTTTTTAAATTAAAAATGAAAAATTTTAAATTAAAAATAATCATTTTTTGTTTTAAATTTAAAATATTTAATTAAAAAATTTTCAATTGTTTTAATTTTTATTATTATATCATTTCAGGTGATACAAGTCGTCGAGCAGAAATAAATATTGAAAGAGCAAAATTTGTTGATACATTTGAAGCGGTATTCTTTGATGATCGTGAAGGTTCTTGGTTTGATTTTAATTTAAATACCGGTGAACGTATTGATGATACATATCCATCGATAGCTGTTCCATTATTTACCGAATGTTATAGTAGTTTAAATAATCCAATGTTGGTTGAAGTATTGGGAACATTACAACGTAAAGGATTATTACAATTTCCCGGTGGTATACCAGCAAGGTAATCATTGTTAAATACATTTTAATTACATATATCCAGGATGAATATAATTAATTAATTTTACAAGAATTTCATTAATAAAAATTAATAATACAGTATATTCATTAGTAAATAATCAATAATACAATGATTTTGCTAATAAACGAGTAATAATACAATAATTTCATTAACAAATAACCAATAGCATAGGTGGATTTTATTAATAAACAAATAATTATTAGTAAAAATGAAGTAAACAATTAATCATTAGAAAAAAGTTTTTTTTTAATAATGCAATAATTTCATCAACAAATAAATTATAATAAAATATTAATCAATTAAATGTTTAGCAAATAAAAGTAAACAATTAATTGGATGATTGATTAAATTTTTTTATAACAAATAGTAATTGAAACAATATTACTTATTGTTCATGTAAATTAATTCATTAAAAGATATTAATCCTATATGAATATGTAACAAAAAATATGATTGAATTATTCAATGAAATTATTTGTCAAGCAAATATTAAGCAAATAAAATGGAATATTAATTGAATGATTGATTAAATATGACTGATAAGAGGAGATAAACTGATAATAATAGATCATTATGATTATTACAGTTTGATTCGTGGTTCAAATCAACAATGGGATTATCCTAATGGTTTTGCACCAATTAATCATATGGTTATCGAAGGTTTACGTAAATCAAATCATCCAATGTAAGTGATATCAATAGTTTATTCTTAGAAATAAATCAATTCTAAAGTTCAAATTTATTTCTAAAATAAAAAAAATAAACTTAAAAAAGAAGAAGATAATCTGAATTTAAACAATAAATTAATTTAATACTAATAAACTTAAAATTTGTACATGGCTAACATTTGAAAATATTTTAATTCTTAATAAAAATTAAAATAAAATTTATAAAATTGATATTTTTACTTATACTCTAATATTTTTCATCATAAAATTAAAAATTAAAAAATGCATTCTTATTCTATTAAATAATTCAATAATTATTGTTAGTATTACTGATACCAATAACTTAATTAAGGATCAAAAATGACAACAAACCATTGAATTGAAATAATTCAACAGTCATTGATAAATTACTGATAAGATAAGAGGATAAATTATATATTAATTAATAATAAGCAATTGTGATGATAAATTTTAGCATGCAACAAAAAGCATTCGAATTAGCAAATCGATGGATTAATCGAAATTATGAAGTTTATCAATCAGATCATAAATTATGGCAACGATATGATGTAGCTAAAGATCATATACGATCATCAGATGATGATGATAATAATAATGAAGTAAATGAGAAAATCTTTTTTCGTAATTATAATTAATAATTATTTAATTATCAATTATTTTTCTTAATTTTTTAATTATTATTGTTTTCATTTTTCTTTTTTTTTGAAAAATTTTCAAATCAATTATGATAAGACACTAAATTTCGAAAACTTCGAAAATGTAATTAAATTTCAGAAATTATAAGCAAAAAATTGGAAATGTAAAAAATGAATTAGCATCAAATATTTTGAATTTATTTAAAATTCGAAAGGAATTAATATTATTTAAATGGATTGAATTAAGCATAAAGGAAACACAAAAATAATAAATGATTTTCTCTATTCGATTATAAAATCACTGTAAAATAGAATTAAATTATATTGGAATTAAATTTTTGGTTTTTTTTTTGTTTTAATTTTCTTCAATATAAGGAAAAAAAGAAAAGCGAATTTTTTGAAATGTAATTAAGTTCGCAAATTATCAGAATAATTATTAGCCTAATTTTTTCTTTCTTTTTAATGACAAAAATAAATTTATACTTTTGATTAGGAAGGTTATGGATGGACAAATGGTGCATTGTTGGATTTAATGGTAACATACAGTAAACGAATTAGTGTATCTGATAAGATTACTACAGTAGACGTATCTGAAATAATCGACAATGAACCAGCTGATATATTAATAAAAAAATTGGAAGATGTATTTGGTTCATGGATTGTCGTAAAGAAACGTTTGATACGTGTAGCTTCTTACATTTTGAAATGTAGTTAAATCCTGTAATCGTATTTAATTACAACCTGAAATGTAATTAAATCCAATAATAGTAATAATATTGTAAATATGTTTATCATTTCTATTATAAAATTTTGTTATAAATTGATAAATTATATTGAAATATTAATATTGACTAATGCATAATTATAATTTTGATCAATTAAATAATTAAAATATATTTTAGGAAAGAAAAAATTCACTTTTAATTTCGTTCTTTTACTAAAATGCAATTAAATTCCAAATTAAATTCCGATAATTACTTTTTGTTTGTCTAGCAGAGAGATTTAGAACAATGATTTGTAATGATTAAATAATAATAAATATATCCTTCTTATTATAATTAATAATAATTCGTATTAACGAATAGGCATAAAATAAACAAATGATACAAATGATTGATTAGTTAGTTAATCAATTAACAAGTAAACAGGTGGGAGTAAACAAGTAAATAAATAAACAAACAGATAAATAAGTAACAACTATATATATATATATATATATATATATATATATATATATATATATATATATATATA